GGTTTCCCTATCCCTTTATGTAAATTAAAATCCTAGTTTTTAAAAGGAAAATGCAATTTGAAGAATAGCTACAGTAACTTTCAGTTCTGCTGGATAAAGATGACTAAATTTTGTCATTATGCATTTACATTCAAGAACCAACTCATACTAGGGCTGTTTCAGCCACTACTATTGACTACACTATAAGAAACATAACTGAGGCATATTTACAGACAGAAAGATTGGCATATCCAGAATGCGGCGTCTTTGTTGCAGAAACTTTAGCTAAGATCAACTTGTAGTTTGATTGACATGTATAACAGAGTAAGAATGGCGCCTTGTGGGAGTGGAGCATACCTAGCAACATTAGATCCGACCCACATGGCTACTACCACCAATACAACTACGCTACTGCTGGTTTTGCCACAGAGCCAACTAGCGAACGAAAGGCATAATGTAAGTAAAATACCACCTCTGCCTCCCAAGATCCATGCAAGTAGATAACCAATCTTGTATCCAGCGTCCAACTTTCGATCAAGCAAGGCCATGAGGCTACTAAATGTCAAAGACAAACGAATACCTATAGTGTACATTAATAATAAAGAGAGAAATGCAGATCTGAGCACTTCCGTAAATGGACCTCTTTCTTCATCCGGAGTTTCTTCCTCGGACTCCTCATCTTTATCATAATACGAGGAGAAGTTTTCCCTTGTATGATATTGATACCTTTCCCAATATCTCTCTCTTCGCATTTTTCGTCTCAGATCAGCCCACCTATAGGTTCTTATGACATCGTCATATTCATATTCGTATTCCCAATCTCCCCCTAAAGGCCTGTCACTATTATCCTGATGTCGAAGAGCCTGATCGTACTGATTTCTTGATGATTCATTGGATAATACCTGCCAAAACCAAACAGACTTCTCAGTGATGTTAAAAATTTAACAAAAAGGAATTTTGATAATGAACTAAAATTTATCACTAGCATCAGAAAAGGTGTAATGCACTGGCATAGTTTCATCAAAGTTCCAAAAGCTCAAAAGGCGAACCTATTGAAAACCGAAAAAATCCGGAAGACCAATCAAATAAAGGGAACTAAAAGAAAAGGGAAAAGATCTACCAAAAAGACCATACTATGAAGCAAAAACAGTTCAAAAAACTATAAGGCCTCCTTTTTCTTAAATCTCAATTCTCTTCCTATCAGCCCTTCAATCTATAATATAAGCTCAGCATCAGCTCTGATCTTCCATATAAGACTTTCTTAATCTGCCTCGTTATCCTCTGTTTTTATTTTTATTTTTTCAAAATGAGCCTTTCTTTTCAGTCTCATTCATACAAACAGCCATTTATCAACCAAACAGAATACCTTAACTGCACTTGTTCCCTCCTTGAAGGTATCCTTACACACACCTTGGCATTTTCTCTGAGCAGAATTCTGTGGTGCTCTATGACAGCACCCTATAACCCACAGGTCTAAAGTGATCTCTTTCAAACTTCCAATGTTAGTTACACGTTCCGTAAAAAGCCTTAGGCAAACCCTGTTCAATACATTCCAAGGCTTGAATTGAATATGAGAGCAGTCACTCAAAGATGTGCAACACTTCCACTAGGTGGCTTCTCGACAAACATATTCATCAATAACGCGGTGTATTTTCTTGCAGTCATTTCCGGAAAAAGAGTTAACAGAATAGTCAACCCTCGAGGCCAACTTAATATCCAGATCATGAACCAAGAAACATGTATTCCTCCTTCAAGTTCAAGCAATGAAATGCAAAATGACTGAGAAAAGTTCAGTAGTAACAGTTGATCTACGATAGCTCCATGCGTATAAACCAGTAACTGAAGCCATTATTTGTTCTGCAATATACTAGATAAAAACAACTTCTTAATGCTGTTTCTTAGGATGCTTTGGACTACCTAGCATCAGGAGAACCTCAGAAACTATTGTGAAACACTACCTTAACAAGAATTGCTATATCAATCTCCTGCTGCATCCAAGAGTCGATCATATCAACATAGGAAATAAAAATTAGTACAACTGGTGCTGGAAATAGTGTGTGTGTGTGTGTGCGCGTGAAAGAGACAGCAGGGTTGGAAATAGTGTGTACATGTGTGTGTGTGTACGTGTGTGAGTGAGAGAGAGAGAGAGAGACAGAGAGAGTTACAAAAAGTACAAACGGGAACACTATGTAAGAAGATTAGTCCAAAAACTACCTCCACTTTCATTTCCCCCAACTCCTACTCCGATCCCCCGATACACACCCAAGGCAAAGGCGCAAAACCACATCTCTCTCTCAAGAGGTTTAGATGACAGCCTTAGCATATACAACAGCTTAAGATATGAATTCTAAGTTGTAGAAATAAAAGATAGATATGCCAAAAACCACGAAGGAGTGACTCACATCATATGCAAGATGGATTTTCTTGAAAACCTCTTCAGCTCCTGAATCCTTGCTAACATCAGGATGATACTGCATTTAGGATGTGCAAATAATTGATAGAATAAGAGTCAGTAACAGAGCATAGATAATCTAATGCAAAGCATTTTTAAGATCACGAATGCAGGAAAAGAAACTGGATTTTCTTCACACCTATGTTGTGCGGAATCTTCAAAAGCCCTGCCGCACCCGTGTCGACACGACATGGATGTTGGTGTGGGATCTATACCAGATTTGGTCAGCTTACCTTGGGTACTTTGACTACTGGGTAATTGGTTTGACTTTTGGGTTTATGTTATATATATATATATATAAATTTTTTGCTAACTTACTACATGGTTGTTGTAGGTTAGCATTATATACATCTTTTGATTCTCCAATATACCCTTACAAACACAACTTCATTTCCTACAACTGAGGACTTTATTGTCTTTCCACAACAGTTTTATACTACCAAGAAATTTCACATCTGGGTCCTCACTTTCCCTCCCACTTTTCCAGCGAATTTCCCCTCCTAATTTTATTCGCCGGCAACATCTTTTTCTCTTCTTTCTCAGACGAGCCAGGACCAAAGAAGATGCTAAGATTGCAACGAAAAAATGGCATCAAGGTCAGGTTTCAGTGGGGTTAGAATGATCTTGTTATTGAGTGCAAGAACTTACTGTTTTTGAGAAAATATTTCTTTTTTCAAGCTTCGCCCAAATTATGACTGTATAGAGAAGATCTTCTCTAGGTTTACTGTTCCACAGGAAATGGTGAAAAATTAGAACTACGATGGAATGATGTGCTTGTGTAAATTCTTTGATAATGCTTGATGAATGAATCTTGCTTCTTGAATTTTATTCATTGAAATGGAGATGAGGAGTTTGCCGGAGAAAGAAATAGGCATGAGCAGTCGCCGGAAAAAGCAATGGGGTGGTGGGATTCGTGGTTTTGCAGAAGTCCGGGTAGGGGTCCTAATAAGTTGGGTTTAATTTTTTAGAGATGAAATGGTGGAATTTTGATCAATTTCCAAAAAACTCTTTAAATTTAATTTGGTGGCAGCAAATAATAAGGGTATTTTGGAGTATCAAAAGATGTATTCAGTGATCAGGCTCTTCCACAAGATACTTATCAATAGAATGTTTTTCTATTACGCGAGATATCTTATGAATAAAATATTAGGTGTTTATAAAGAATATAGTTTTATTAGTTTTGACAATGTTCGAGTTTAGCAGACTTCTGTAACTATTCTCTCACTCATCCAAAGCACTATCCAAAATGGACTTGGATCAAGTTCATCAAATTCCTCCTCCTAAACCCCCAGACATCATTATCAATCAATCTCCTGATCAATCCAAATTGCCAATTGTTAGCTTTAAGGATAAGTTAGTACAAGGTGAACAAGAAACTTTAATCAATATGATTATTGATAAAAATATCCATGCTCCATCTAATTCTCAAGATATTGGGAAACAAGATCCCATATGCTCATCAAAAGTCCAGCAAGTACAATTAACCATCGAATATATCAACCATGGAAATTCTCGACTATAGTTAAGCTACAAGGGAGAAGAATCCAACACCACTTACTCAAAAGAAAATTACATGAATTGTGGAAAACAAAAGAAAACTTCCCTTTGATAGATTTAGGGTGTGATTACTACATCACTAAATTTAGTAATGAGGAAGCTATGCAAAAAGCCCTACATATGGGTCCTTGGTTCATCTTTGGTCACTTTCTATCGGTCCAAAAATGGGAACCAAACTTTCTTGCATCGGAAGCAAAATTATCAAAAACTGAAGTATGGATTCGACTTCCTCAATTACCAACGGAATTTTATGATGGTTTAATCTTACAAAAGATTGTAACAAAATTGACAAACTTTTAAAAATTGATGCATGCACTTCCTTAACTCTTAGAGGAAGATATGCCAGATTATGTGTTGAGTTGCTTTTGGATGTCCCAGTAACCCATTCTATCTACATTGGATCACACAAACAAACTATACGCTATGAAGATGGGAATCTTCTCTGTGTTAAATGTGGAAGGCTTGGGCATGTTCAATCCAAATGTCAGTATAAAATAGTTTTGAATGTCTCTTCTCCAACTGCTTTGGACCCTACTGTCAACCAATCCAAGGACCACAAAGCAGCAGTTCAAGGAGTTAATGGAGATCTACTTCATCACACTAAGGAAGAAGTGTGGCAGACGGTGAGCTTCCCAACAAAAAAGAAGGCCAATCACAAGAACAATTCAGGTAATCCTAAAGAGCAAAGCAAATCTTTGTCAGGTACTCCTTCTATCTCATTAAATGATAAATCCATTGATAAACAAATGTCTTTTAAATATCCCAATAGGAATTCGTCTAAGATTTACATTGCAAGAAATACTAGCCCACTATTTTCCTCCACTACTGGAAACAAGTTCCAAGCCTTGGTTAATCCGCCTAATCAAGATTGTATGGTATTGGACGTGGACCCACCCCTCAACTCTAATTGCCACGTGGCAAGCTCGACTAAAGACCAATTAAACAACATGCATGGCACTAATTATGTGCCTACTACCCTAACTAACCAGGTTAGCAATCCTCACACGCTTCCAATAACTCCTAATGACACCCTAATCCCTAATGATCCTACTAAATCATACTGCAAGCCTAGCTAATGCTTGCATGGGAAATAAAATACTCAATCAACACCTGTCCCAAGACTCTCCGGTTGGCCAACAAATGGTTAAAGAAACCATACACGTTACAGGGACAAAATCTTCTCCAAATCTTACTAATACAACCGGCTCAAGCAACCCCCAAAGCATGCAACTAGAGGTAATAAGTATCAACCCCCTAGAGCACTAGAACCCATAGTCATCCCCTTAGAAAACTCTTACACTTCCCATAATATAAACCATCCCTCTAGTAGTAACTATGCCCAGAATACCAGTATCCCAAAGAAGGCGTTATCGTCTAGTCCAAATCTTAAGGCACCAACGAGCCCATACAATGGCCAACCCTCCAATCCCTCAGGCAGCCCAAACAAACCACCAAATCTACTTTGTTCAACCACCCCTACCTCAAGATCATCAGCCCCTCTCCTGGATAGAGCAAGCATTGATGGGGCATGCAATATCATTCAACATGATATTGGATGGACAGGAAACAGTGATAGTTCTTCAAAATTCTCATTTCCTTGCCCATCTAGTATCGGAAGGGATGCACATGGCGATGAGCAACTACTTCAATCACGTTTGGTTGAACAACATACTTCATCCCCTAGCTCCATCGATGAACTCAAACCTAGCCCAAACTATGAGAAACCAATGGAACCTTCCACCCCACTTCAACCCAATCCAAACTCGGAACATGCAAATGGATCTCCCATTCTTTCCACCGGGGGAGATCTCGAACATGAATCCAATATTCATGCCATGGTCCATGCCAAACACCCATGCAACGACTCAGATGGCCAATCAAATGCAAATTCCTCCACATGCAAACAATCCCCAACCAAACGATCCACTAGATCAAAACAATGCGCCACAACAACAACAAGCTCCTCCCAATCAACCAGAACCAGAAGACCAACCAATAGAGGATGCAGAGGAGTTGAACTTGCTGGGGTCCGACCAAATCCTAGAGTTTTCAAGTTTAAACGATGTAAAGGTATATCTATTCAGGGAAATGCGCAAGAAGAGATATGTTCTCAGTTGTCCCCCAAGTCTTTACAAATTCTCGATGGATGTCAGGCCTCCACAGGACCCTACTGTGGGGAGCCATGCAATGATCTTGGTGCCTTCGATAAGGAGGAACCCAACTCCCCCTCCACAGGGAATGAGGAACAATGGTAGCATGCACAACCCTAATCTCCTTGATATGATGCCTTACCCTGTTAACTTTATCATCTGGAACATGAGGGGTGGTAATAACGATGCTTTTAGGGTAAACTTTAGAGAAATGATCGATACGCATAAACCTAGTGTTGTGACTCTACTAGAGACTCGCATAGAAAACCATGTTTCTCTCCTTAATGATTTTCCATTCACACAAATGATTGAAGTCCCAGCTGAGGGACAATCTGAAGGAATGGTCATCCTTTGGAAATCAGATGTGGTTACAGTGAAAGACTTTGTGAGAAGGAACCAAGAGATTCATGCTAATATTGAGGTACGTCCATCAAATTTTTCTTGGCTTTTTTCATCTATTTATGCTAGTACTAAAGTAGCTAGTACAAATGAACTTTGGAGTAATATTGAAGGAATTTATGAGAATTACAAAGGTCCTTGGCTCTTGGGTGGGGATTTTAATGATACTTTTAGCACGGATGATAAGTTTAGGGGTAGGAGAATTAACAGTAGACGTAGTTCCCGTTTATGGTCTAGTGTTAACCATTGCAACCTTTTTGATCTAGGTTTTACAGGTTATAAGTACACATGGTCTAACAACAGTAGGAAATCTAATAAATTAATTATGGAACGCTTAGATAGAATTTTCGTTAATGATTCTTGGACAAGTCTATTTACAAAAGCCATGGTTATCCATCTTCCAAAAACACACTCTGACCATAACCCCTTACTACTTCAACTAGTTCCCAACAATAGATTCCATAATGGAAAACCTTTTAGACTTGAATCTATATGGTGAAGACATCCGGATTTTATTAATATAGTTAGGTCTAGTTGGCAAACTAATGATCTCCCTAAGGCTCCTCGGATCTTCAAAGAAAAAATCATTCCTTGGAAAAATGATACCTTTGGGGATATCTTTAAAAAGAAAAATTTTGTTGGCACGCCTAGATGGAATTCAGAATTCTCCTAAGTATCAAACTAGTCTGTTTTTAATGAATTTGGAAACTATTCTTCAACAAGAGTATAATGGCCTATTAAAAATGGAAGAAGATTTTTGGAAGCTCTGTTCAAGAATTAGTTGGTGTAATGAAGGTGACGCCAACACTCGTTTCTTCTATAGCATGGCTACCAATAGAAAACGTGTTAACTCTATCTTGTATTTCAAAGATGAAAATGGCAATTGGATAACTGATGCTAAATCCATACTAGAACACACTTACAATCATTTTAGCAATTCCTACAAGACTTCTAAAACCTTTAGTAAAATGACTTGTTTCAAAAACCATTGTGACTCTAGTGGGAATATTGACCTAATCACTCTTGATAATCCTGTTACTAAGGAAGAAGTTAGGAAAGCTATTTTTTCGTTCAAACCTTTTAAAGCCCCGGGTCCGGACGGTATTCAACCTTTCTTTTATCAGAAGTATTGGAATATAGTTGGTGAGTCGGTCATAAAATTTTGCCAAGAGGCCTTTGAATCACAATCTCTCTCTAAGGGTATTAATGATACTTACTTATGCCTCATTCCAAAAATTGACAATGCCAATGATCTAAAAAAATTTAGACCTATTGGGCTCTGTAATACGGTGTACAAAATAACAACTACCCAGTAAAGTCCCACATAGTGGGGTCTGGGGAGGGTAATGTGTACGCAGACCTTACCCCTGCCCCGATAGGGGCAGAGAGGCTGTTTCTGATAGACCCTCGGCTCAGAAAGACAAAAATAAAGTAAGAAAAAAACAAGAGGAGAGAAATCATTAGTAACTCCAGTGGAAATTGTAATAATAACAGAAACATAAAAACCGAAAGATGAATGACATGCAATAACAGTAACCCTAATCTAAGGCCCGGGGCTAAGACAAACAACAAGAATAGTGTGGGTCCAACATAAACTGCAAGCCATCTAAGACCAACCCTAATCCAACCCCGCCTCACCCCGGAATGAAGTAAGGAAAGCTTTACTACCCCTATCCTACAACCCTAATGCGTGACCTCCAGGCCTTCCTATCAAGGGCCATGTCTTCGGAAATGTGCAGTCGTGCCATGTCCTGCCTGATCACCTCTCCCCAATACTTCTTAGGTCTCCCTCTACCTCTTCCCGTACCCACCACGGCTAACCTCTCACACCTCCTCACCGGTGCATCGAGGCTTCTCCTCTGCACGTGCCCGAACCATCTGAGCCTCGCTTCCCGCATCTTGTTATTAAAAATTGACCTCCAAAAGGCTTTCGATAAGATAGAATGGGATTTTATCCATAAAACTCTTGTTTTCTTTCACTTTCCTCCTAAAATCTCTAACCTTATTATGCACTAGTAGTATTAGTATCCTTGTCAACGGAACCAAGACAAATTTTTTTAGCCCAAGTAGAGGAATCCGTCAAGGTGATCCCATGTCACCCTACATTTTTACCCTATGTATGGAGCTTATGTCTAGATTAATCGATAATCAAGTGGATACTGTGATGTGGGACCCTATAAAAATTACCCCAAAGGGTCCTCATTTTTCACATCTCTTCTTTGCTGACGATTTAACCTTAATGGGTAAAGCTAATCATAAGACGGGTAATTGTATAAATCAATGCCTTAATTTGTTTATGGAAGAAACTGGGCTGTCCATAAACTACTCTAAGTCTAGGATTGTGTTCTCCAAAAAATGTCCACGAGACATTTCAAGCCATTTAGCTAGTCTATTTAACACAAGGGCTAGTTTTGAGTTTGGAAAATATCTTGGATTTCCAATGCTAAATCACAAACCAAAGCCCAAGGATTTTCAGTTTGTCATTGATAAAATGCGTGCTAAACTCTCCCTTTGGAAAACTAATCTTCTTAATATTGCGGAAAGAACCACTTTAGCATCCTCAACTCTGAATGCTATGCCTTCTCATGTTATGCAATATACTATGCTCCCTAAAAAAGTGTTAAATCAGATTGATAAGATTCAAAGGGATTTCATATAACCCTCAGGGGTTGGCCTGGTGGCAATTGACTTGAGCCTTAGGGTTTGCTCCCTTTCAAGGTCTCAAGTTCGAAACCCACTGGGTGCAAATAATTTCTGAGGGCCATCGGACTGGGTAAAACCTGAATTAACCGTGGTTCACTTGCGGGAAACTCCTTGCCGAGGGCTTGTGCACCCCCCGGATTAGTCGGGGCTCTAAGAGACTCGGACACCCGGTGCAAATCAAAAAAAAGAAGGGATTTCATATGGGGAACCACTAATACTAAGAGGAAAATCCATTTGGTGAATTGAAAAACAGACACTAAGCAGAAATCTGAAGGGGGTCTAGGAATTCATACTTCTTTGCAAAAAAACTGTGTTCTCCTTACTAGCCTGCTGGCGCCTTATAAATTTTCCTAGTTACCCTTGGGCTCAACTAATTGCTAGTAAATATGCCCATAAAAAAACAACTCAAAAATGCTCCTTCATCTGGGCAGCCCTTCTAAAAGGGTATACAATACTTACCAAAGGAATTTTGTGGCATCCGAGCAACAATTCAAATCTTGACATTTGGTCAAGTAGATGGATTCATAATGCTCCAAGCCTTAAAAATAGTATAGAAGGCCCTCTAAATAAATCTGACTACTTAATCTCTCTTAATCACTTGATTTCTAATGATCAATGGGATATGTCAAATATCTCTTTTGACCTACCCCCTTCCCTAATTAATAAAATCAAGGCTACTCCTATGCCGTTAGGTTCAATGAGTAAGGATCTAATGTCCTGGGATTCGAATAGTAATGGCATATTTTCTTCCAAGTCCTGCTACAAACTTTTAGAGGATAGTCACTTGGTGACACAGGATAAAGAGCCTGATTTTAATTGGATTTGGGATCTCCTTGTCCTAATAAAATCAAGTTCTTTATTTGGCAATGCATGCACAAAAAAATACCTTGTAGATCTTACCTTCATTATATTGGTATCAATATTGATCCTATTTGCCCTATGTGCAAAGAAGGACCTGAGGATGCCGCTCACATTTTTCTCTTATGCCCTATAGCTAACCGTTATTGGTCCAGTATTGATCTAAGAATCAACCAAAATAATGATCAATCAAATTGGTTAGCTAATTTAAAGAATGCTCATCAAGTCAATCATCAGCATTATACTTGGAAATGTATCCTCCCTTTTTCAATTTGGAATCTTTGGAAGAATAGAAATAACAATAACATAAACAATTTGGATATGGACATTAACCCTAGACAGGTTTTCCATTAAATATGGGAATATCTCTTCTTTACTGAAAAAAATCCCATACAAAATTCTTCTGTTAAGATTAAAATTCAATGGGCAAGACCTCCTCCAAACAAGATTAAGCTTAACATTGATGGGGCATTCTCGAAAGAAAAGCTTCATGCAGGTTTAGGAGGAGTTTTCAGAAATAGCTCTGGTAATTGGATCATGGGCTTCACAAAATCTTGTTACACATTTTGCTCCGTGCCGGCAGAACTATTAGCATTGGAGCAAGGCTTAAAATTAGCTGTGGAGATGCCAATTGCTGCTATAGAAATTGAATTAGCCTCGACGGATATAATAAAGATGCTTACTGAAGAAAATGATAGTACTAATGCATGTTTACTTAACTGCAGATCATTAATGCGCCAACTGAAATCCCCGGTGATCAGGCACAATTTTAGGGAAGGGAATGCAGTTGCAGATTGCCTAGCTAAGGAAGCAGTCAAGAATTTCAAGCCAGATAATTGCTACCACCTTGCTTCCCCACCTCTTTTTGTTGAAGCCACTTTGGAAAAGGACATGCAAGGCTTTTGTTTTGGTATTAAGCAACTAAGTACCAGTGTTTGTAATAGTTTAGTAACTTTAAACAATAGTAATGTCCTTCGGGACTATGTAACTTCGGTGTAAGCTTTTACGTATTAATATATTTGCTTCCTATCGTTCAAACAAAAAAAAAAAGTTTTATTAGTTTTAGTAACTTTAACTAATCAAAATATATACATTTATTGGTCGTATCCCAGCAAGCGTATCCGCACTCGGATCCATACCCCTGAATCTAAAATTTATGTGACGAAGAATCTGACCTCTAGATCAGCACCATATCGGATACTCGCATCCCAGTCCGAGCAACATAGCTTCACATTGTTTGGAAAGAAACATGCACACTTCTTTATAAGCAAAAGTTCAAAGCTTTTAGATAAGAACATTGCACTTGAGAACAGCATTAACCAGTAACCATACAAGAAGGCTTCCCCTGTCTATGTCAACAGAAGTTTGAGACAAGAAGGCGAACTACATATACCACGGGCATGAAATATAGTTATCCATGCTTTCTTACCCTGAACCAAATATTCCATAGCTTCGCATACTTGAAATGATATTTTGACAGAGTGGCAAGACAAAGCAAAAGTTGCAACCACAATAACATCTCATAGGAAAGTTTGTCAATGGCAAACTCTGCTTGGAAGAAGGAAAAGAGGGACAAGAATTGGTTGAGGTGAAATGCTGTTCTTTTCCTCCTATTGTTTCTATAATTGGTTGGGAAGTAACTTACTCACATCCTACTATCTGTCTCAGTCCCAAACAATTTCCTTTAACATAAAGAAGCAGAGCATGTATTATAAGTAAACTCTTCAGCATTGTTTATTAAGATACTTCTCTTTCTGCAGTTGCTCATAAAGATAATGCAAACCCAATAAAAGTTTGAACCAGTCATATCTGAAATTCTTACTCACAGTTGCTTTAGAATTACAATTCTTTCTAAAAGGTGGAACTAGAATGAAACATGAATTACATTCTTTTTCTTTCCATTGTTTCATTCGGTAACTAATCAATGTCATTACAATGAAGTAAATTAAATAAAGTAACAAAAATTGCTAGTCATGTATCAATAAAAATCAAGGTTCAATTGCATTGTAATATCCAATAACTACCTAAAATACCTTCTTTAATCCTCATATTATCTCATAAAACATGTATCCTAAAGAGACATGATAGTACCTTGAGAGCAAGAAGACGATATGCCTTTTTTATATCAGCAGGAGAAGCACTGTGTGGCACACCAAGCACGGTATAGTGGTTCTGCAGGCCACCACCGATAGCAGATGCTGAAATCCGGGCACGATGCTGAAAAATACCTACGCGCTTGCTAGGCCACGCCCATGGTCCAAAAGATAAGTTCTGGTTTGAGCTACCACCTTTATCAATGGAAGTGGGAGCCAAGAAGAGATAGGTCTGCATGTTATGAACTGCTTTTATTCAGATTTGCATTGCTCGTTTGAGTTCTGTCTTAGCTGCAGAAATGGAAAAATGCAAAAGATTCAATCAAAGAACATTTTTAAGGCTAGCGTCTTGACTCTAGAGAAGTTATAGATAGTGGTGTCATAAGAGGGGATCTGCCTTACATGTTTTAACATTTTGTTTTCATTCAATACCTGCAAAATTGTTGTTTTATTTTCGTTGGATAAATTTTTTCCGTCTTATAGCTTCATATAAATCATTCTTTATCTCAAAACTCTGCATACGGGTGGATTAAGAATGCTTGTGAGGGTCACAAAGTGATCTGTATATTCGCATTATGGTTAAGCAACAACAATTAGTATGCCTCAAGCTCGCGTTATAGCTAAAAATTTACAAAATAACAAGAAGTTGCATCATTTGTAGCATCTCTGACACAAATCCTTAGCTACCACATATTTAGGGGATAGTACTCATTCTTCTAAAACCAACTTTAAGGATAAGACTAGACCACAATTTTATACTCAAAATTCTTCTAAAATAAAACTAGAGATTGTAAACCCTAAACGTCCTCAATTGTAATATGTTTCTAATTAAGGTAGAACAAGCTGCTTTGTGTAGAATTCAGCAGTATTAATAAGAAATATCATAACTTTAACTTGATTAACCAAAATTTACACAGACAAACACCATTAAATTATGGTAAAAATGTAATGGGCTGTTTCCCCAATAAGCTTCAGACCATGGATATAAATACACATCATAATCAACATCGGATGGGGAAATAACAATTGAAACAAAAATATTGCAGCAAAACAAACACAAAATAGCAAGAATTACCAGTTCAAATCTCAAACAGGTGAAAATGGAGAAAACCCAGAAGACTGAAGAGAGCTTAGGGACAGTTGATGTGGAAATTTTTCTTTTTTCTTTCTCTTGTCATAATTTAATTAAATAAATAAATAAATAAGCACGGATTTTCCTCTTCTTCTTTTTTCTTTTTCTCTTTTAACTTCGATAAGCACTCGTCCAACCATATTAACATGTTTAATTGCATTGACATCATAATACTTACATGCATAAAAACAAAAAAATTTACCTTACAGTTTAATACCATAGTCGTTTAGCAGTAACATTGATATTTTGCTTAGTACAATGTCTAAGGCTAAAAAGTTTTTTTTTTTTTTTCCCTAAGAAAGTTAGGACTAGTAATTGGTAGAAAAATAAATTGCAGAAACAGGGAAATTAATAATCGGCTTTGACCAGAAAAAAAAAATTCAACTTTGATAGTGTATTCACTGTTCTTTGAGCATAGGTAAATTAACGTTATAATATATGTAATACAGTTAGTTATATGAACCATTTCTATTCCAATTTACTAATTTAAAAAAATAATCAATGATTAAGGTGGACCTATGTATATTCAGGTATTATCGGACCCCGTAAATTTTGGTATAAATCTTGTATATGTATACGTGTATACTTTCAAAATGATTAATTTAAATCACTTAGCACCTTAAACACTAAAAGCCTTTTGGGACACACTAATTTAGCAGAATACTCGCATCATGAATGCCTTTTAGGGCATCTCCAACCTTGCACCATTTTTTACACCAAAATGGTGCAAAGTAACTCCGGCCCATTATACTATTTTTTACACCAAAAAAAAAATTCTTTTTATATTCTTCTCTCTCTTCTATATTATATTATTTTCTTTTTTCTTTTTTACATATTTATCCCATATAATTCATATTTCTTTCTTATATAACCATAAAATACAAAATTATTTTATACCTTTAATTTTTAAATAATATAAATTATATGCAAATACTATACATTATACATATTAATGTATAATTCAAATAAAAATGAAATCATTGATAAGATATAATTAAATAAATATTACATTATGGTAAAATTTAGTTTAATTTTTACATAAATATTCAACTTACAAGATTAGTATGTTGCTCCCATAAATGCTCTATTAATGCATTAGGAAGTGCAAAATGAGCATCTTTGTCCTTAATTTTTTTGTGCCAAGCTAAAAATTGTTCAAATCGGTAATTTTCATCTACTACCATTTCTACTGTTGGAGTTGGACCTTCCCAATCATCTTGAATTGGTGCTTAAGATCACGTTCATCCTTGATTATCATGTTGTGCAGTATAATACATGTAGTTAATATATTATGGAGCACTTCTTTCCTCCAAAAACGTGACGGCCCTGCAATAATTACAAAACGAGATTGCAAAACTCTGAATGCACGTTCAACATCTCTTCGACATGATTCTTGTTTTATCGCGAAATATTTTTTCTTTTGAGAACGTGGCTCACGAATAGTTTGCACAATAGTAGACCATTTTGGATATATACCATCAGCTAAATAATAACTCACGTGTGCAGACAGGCAGCGAGATATGGAGATAAAAGATAGGCAGCGAGATATGGAGATAAAAGATAGAGCTTTGAAGCTAAAAGAATTTAAAGAAGAAAATAAAATTTTATTGTCGAATTTAGATTCTATTGATGATCCAAATATTCGTGAATTTATTCGACAAGAACAAAAACGAATTATAGATAAAAGAAGTCAACAATTTCAACAGCCACAACCACAACAATCCTCATCCCATACACTCAATATTTTATTGATATTGGCGGATCTGGAAGCGGCCTTCCAGAGTACTAGATTATTGTTGTAATTTTCTAGTCCCATTATGTTATTTAATGTATTTTCAATTTAATCTATGTAAGTCGCTACTGTATTAAATATTTGTTTTTATCATAATCAATGAATATTGTGTTATTTATTAACAACATATTATATTTTAGTTTTGCAATTTTTATTTTTTTGATGGTTATATATTTTTATACAATTATAACTTATAATAAAATTAACTTACAATTTTATATAAAAATAAAATATATTAAAATTAATTTATAAAAGTTATACACCAAAGTTAAAATATAAAATTAATATTTTAAAGATATTATATAAAAACTATAATTAACTACAAAATTATAATATGTTAAATTAAAAGTGTTATATAATAAAGATAATATTAAAATAATGATGAGTAGTAATGGTGTTGATGAATAGTGTTACACTAAATTTGGTGTAACACTATTCACACACCAAAATGGTGTAAGAAATGGTGTTGGGTTGGAGCAAAACAACATCAAATCTTACACTAAAATGGTGTTTGGTGTCAAAATTAGTGTTGGGTTAGAGATGGTCTTATATCTTACCCAAGGGCGGATCTACTAAGGGAGTATGGGGTGCCACGCTACTCGCAAACCTCGGCCGAAACTTATATATTTCTGTGTATATACAGAAGAGATCTGATATATGTCGATGGCGCCCAGATTAGCAAACATGAGCTTGGTGCCACCGGTAAATTGCTGGATTTTTATGTCCAGACGCCCATGTTCGAATCCAGTCAACATTTGTTCTTATTGTTTAATCGCTTCAGTTTTAAGCTTTTCAGCATTAGATACTTAAATTTTTTGAGCTTCAATTTTAAACTTTCAGCCTCAATATTTTCATCTTCTGTATTTTCTTATTTTTCTTTACCTTTTAAATATAACAGTATCTTTTTCATTTTTAAACTAAGGAAACCAATTTCTTTAACCAAATAACAACCAAAATTTCAAAATTCAAACTTGTATGGGTCAGAATTCGACCCCACGATAATTAACGAGGCTAATCCCGTTTTAAGTTAATTCATGATTAATTAGTGGCACGACCATTCAGAGTTGACGATGTTCAGCTCGCATCTGGTTCGATCGACAAGGCCATGGCCTATCCGCCACCATAAAGGCGAGATCCCAACGTGGTCACGGCCACTTATTGCCAGCTCACGAAACTCACAGCTATAAATACCAAGAGAGGGAACCCTAGAAAGGGGGGGCTTCTTCGTGACCACTATTGGGAGAGAAAAAAGGGACAACAATACCCAAAATTATGGGCAAGAGGAACACCATTGTAAGGCTCTGAACCTCTCCATGGAGAGGCAGACCAAACAAATGTTATCAATAAAGGTTTCTAATGTTTCTCCCCCTAACCATGAGTACTTATTTTCGTTTCTTTCGTTTGGTCCAACGGATTATTACGATTTGCTATGATTTTCCCGTGACTCATTTGTATTGTTTTATACTCATAAGATATGTAATAACTTTTGAGCAAACAATTTGGCGCCGTCTGTGGGGATTTCCTAGCAAAATCGCGTAGTTCTTCCCTGGACCAAAAGGAAAGAAGCGCCAAACTCGAACATCTCAAATCAAGATCTAAGTCCTCTCTCTCTCTCCAATCTCAGATAGTGCAAACAAGAAGAAGGGGCCCCCTCCCTTCCTAAGGGAAAGTCTCTGTAAGGCACACGAGCTCCGGTCAGAAATCGGCACGGAGATATCTCGAGCCGAGAGTCGCCTCAGGACAGCCTATATACCCTGGTTGGGAAGACAACGGATAAGCCGCTCAAGGTCTCGAATCCAAAACGAGTTTCAGCACTCAATACCCACAATATGGGACTCAGGCTACGAGCCTTCGCCGTCAAAATCAACCAAATTCAACAACAGTTGAACTGGGACTCAGGTTATGTACCTTCGTCATCTAAATCGACAAAGTTCAACAACAGTTGAACTGGGACTCAGGCTATGCGCCTTCACCAACAAATTCAACTACGGTTGAACCGGGACTCAGGCTACGTGCCTTCACCAAAAAGTTCAACTACGGTTGAACCAAGACAGGCTATGCGCCTTCGCCAAAAAGTTCAACTACAGTTGAACCAAGACAGGCTATGCGCCTTCACCAACGAGTTCAACTACGGTTGAACCGGGACTCAGGCCATGCGCCTTCACCAACAAGTTCAACTACAGTTGAACCAAGACAGGCTATGCGCCTTCACCAACAAGTTCAACTACAGTTGAACCAAGACAGGCTATGCGCCTTCACCAACAAGTTCAACTACGGTTGAACCGGGACTCAGGCTACGTGCCTTCACCAAAAAGTTCAACTACGGTTGAACCAAGACAGGCTATGCGCCTTCGCCAAAAAGTTCAACTACAGTTTGAACCACAGGCTATGCGCCTTCGCCAAAAAGTTCAACTACAGTTTGAACCAAGACAGGCTATGCGCCTTCACCAACAAGTTCAACTACAGTTGAACTGGGACTCAGGCCATGCGCCTTCGCCAGTAAAATTCAACTACAGTTGAACCAAGACAGGCCATGTGCCTTCGCAAAAAAGTTCAACTACAGTTGAACCAGGACTCAGGCTACGTGCCTTCACCAAAAAGTTCAACTACAGTTGAACCAAGACAGGCTATGCGCCTTCACCAACAAGTTCAACTACGGTTGAACCGGGACTCAGGCTACGTGCCTTCACCAACAAGTTCAACTACGGTTGAACCAAGACAGGCTATGCGCCTTCACCAACAAGTTCAACTACGGTTGAACCGGGACTCAGGCTACGTGCCTTCACCAAAAAGTTCAACTACGGTTGAACCAAGACAGGCTATGCGCCTTCACCAAAAAGTTCAACTACGGTTGAACCGGGACTCAGGCTACGTGCCTTCACCAAAAAGTTCAACTACGGTTGAACCAAGACAGGCTATGCGCCTTCGCCAAAAAGTTCAACTACGGTTGAACCGGGACTCAGGCTATGTGCCTTCATCATCAAAATAGACAAAGTTCAACTACGGTTGAACCAAGATAGGCTATGCGTCTTCACCAAAAAGATCAACTACGGTTGAACCAAGATAGGCTATGCGCCTTCACCAAAAAGTTCAACTACGGTTGAACCGGGACTCAGGCTACGTGCCTTCACCAAAAAGTTCAACTACAGTTGAACCAAGACAGGCTATGCGCCTTCACCAACAAGTTCAACTACAGTTGAACCAAGACAGGCTATGCGCCTTCACCAACAAGTTCAACTACGGTTGAACCGGGACTCAGGCTACGTGCCTTCACCAAAAAGT